AACATAAATATAATTTATGAAAGGTCTCCATTCTGTACAAGTATTCAATATTAACAGTGCCCAGTTTACTGGTTTTGTTCTTTGTTCTTTTGTTGCTTGTGTTTGTGGTATTACAATGAAGAAACAATTGGTTGCCTCATTAAAAGTGATCCAGATAGCTTGTATTTTGTAGGATTTTTATATTAACACACACCTTACATCACTTTCAAGTTAATAGTTGTATGTGATGTGAGATACAACCCTAAGTTCCTTCCTTTGCATATAGTTATCCAGTTAACCTGGCAGTTTGTTGACAGGTTATGAATCTTTGCTAAATCGTCAGACAGATATTCACCAAGTAGCACAATATGATGGTAACATGGCACTTAAAGAGTAGCTTCCAGTTAACAGCAATGCCATTTCCTGTCTAATTCCTTTTCAAATGCCCCCATTTCACAATGCTCCCATTTCTTCCTCCCTCCCTTCCTTCTGTTTTCCTTATTCCAATGGGACCTCGCAGTGTAGCCTTTGCTAGCCTCTAACTCACAGCGATCTTCCTCTCAAGTGGAGGGATTATAGGGATGATCATTGTGCTTGGGTGTTTATTTTCTTGTGTATGTGTTTGGGGATGGTGTGTTGGGTGTGGTCACTCTATTCCCCTCTATATTGACTATATAGTCTATGCCACGCATTACACTAAGCTTTAGGAATGCAGAGTTGAGTTTCAAGAAATCATTGCTGAAGAAAAAGGGCAAGTTTGAAAGGGATGGTAATCCCTGTTCTCTAGAAAGGGGCAGAGAGATAATGTCACAACAACAAAAGTTGTATAACATTTACATAGCACATTGAGAAGGGAACAGAGAGTTAAATGTAGAGCGAATTCAGCTGATAGAAACGACTTAGGGTGGGAAATGTCTTGCAGATTAGTTGGCAACATCACTAAAGCTTTGAGTTATTTTTGAAATACAAACCAAAACATGAATTACATGCTTTTCATTCTCATCTGCAGTTGTGACCTCTGCCCATTTGCTCTTGGGCGGAATGGTTTTTTTGACCTGCCAAACTAAATATAGCTTCAGAGGAGACAGCATAAAAATCAAAGATTTCATTCTCCATAATGTGCATGCTAGGCTTATTGAATAAGTTGCTATAGGCAAAAAGAAACAAGTTTTAAAATATGGTCACTATTTTCTTTTATACTTTCTCTTATAAGATCTTGTCCTATTGGGGACAGTGTAGACAGAGATACTATTTCATGCATGTTTGGTCTTTTAGAACACATAAAATTCTTGTTAATTTTTGATCTGCTTCACACTAGATAAATGGTAAAAATATGAAGTTCATTTCCAAAATATACAGTTTATTTTAATTTAATGTATAGGTTATGAATTTTTCTCTTTGAACATTTTAATTTATTTTTAAGATAAAATATTACCTTTTTAAAAACCCTTCCTTCCTAACCATCCACTAGTATGATGTCACCTCGCTCTAAACATTAAACACTTCAGTTCAGAAAAAAATAGAAAATAGTGATAATCGGAATAGTAATTCATAAGCCAACAAAATATACACTGTTTGAAATACTATTGGTTTCTCATAGAATCAAGTCATAATTAACCCTAGAACAGCTGTAAATTTTGTCAGTCTAGTGTGGTCTGATCTGACAAGCTTGCATGGCTATATATTTATAAAGGAATCAAGTCTCATCTCCCTCCAATATGTTGAATTTCTTGTTATAAACAAGTAGAAAATCTGAGTCCTTGTTACATAAGAAAAGAGCAGTGATTTTGTAGTTTCAAAGACCCTGGATCTTTAGTTTTCATACAAAAGCAAGGGAGATCTATGGATTTTGAACGAAATAACACCTAATTCATTATACTTTCAGTTATATCAGCTGCTCCTAGAGTCAGCCCCATGCTTCTGGACAAATGGAATCCTGTGAATCCCAATTGGTTCACATGATATTTTTCCTCCTTTCCTGTATTTCTCTTCTCTTCCTCTTTTTTGTTTTGTTTTGTTTTGTTTTTTAATTCAAGGAGACTATCAGAAATGAAAACATCTAATGAACTAAGAAACAGTGCAGTTCAAATGTTCTTGTTTCCTAGACAATAGAAGCCCATAGAAAGTATTGGATTGTCTTGGATTTCATAACTCCATCAGGAGTGAAATCTGAGTTTAAGACCTGAAGCAATGGTAGTCTTCTGTCTGCAATTTTATTGCATCCCCTTCAGTATAAATGTAGCTGGATGAGGTGAGTAAAGTCAGTATTTGACCCTTCAGATATCTAACAGTTCCGTGTTACCTAGAACACAGTCTAATCACTGTGTATACAAACATTCTTTCATGTTGTTTTCATGAAAAAATCTGTATTTAAAAATACATTTACAAAGGAACATGTCACCATTTTTCAAATTGCCATTCGCATGTTTTACAACTCTCTTAGAAATATGTCCTTAAGTCAGATAGTTTGTTAGTCATTGGATTCCTAAGGAATCCATTTCAGATTCTTTGAAATTCTGTGAAAAAATTAGTTCACAGCTTTTGTGAATTTTTAAATACCCTTAGCCAAGCCCCCCCCCATCTCTTTCCATGGGTCTTTCCCACTCTCCACTGCGTTGTCTTCCACATGGATGCCCATTCCTATGTGAAACAGTGCTGTACCAATGTGGAAACTGTTCATTTCTGAATGGAGAATCTCATTGTTAGGATTTTTTTTTTTTTTGGTGGTAAGATCTTCTCTTCACATTTTAATTCATTTTATGGCTCTCCTCTGAATTCTTTCCAAAATCTTGATCAACCTGAATGCAGAGTTCAGAGTTAGAAGTCATGCATGAATGTGGAAGACTGCTGATGGTGATGTCAGAGGACACCAGCAAGTAGCCAAGAAGCTGCTGCAGCTGGTCCCTGGGGTGATCCCACAGAGAAGGTCATCAACCCTCAAGGTCAAACCAGCAGCAAGGGGCTGCCTCTGCTAGGGCCAGCAGGATTGCTCACATTTCAAATATGACAATAACAAAAATGAATAGGGGAGTCCAGATGAGGAAGAGAGACCAAGACAAAGCCAGAAGAAATGGAATCTTGAAAAAAAGAAATCTGAACAGCTTTGATGCATATTATTAACCAGCACCTTTATTAGTCTTCCAGTACTCTCTTCACATAGAAAGAAAGTCATAGTGACCTACATTGATGAGAGGCATGGCTAATGAACACAGTGAGCTGGACCTCAAACGCTGTAATATATGAACTAGGTTGTTGAAATCACTGTGATTGGGAAGGGTAGGTGTTTGAGAATCTATAGGCTACTTCTGTAAAGGGAGGCACCAAGTACACAACGTGCAGAATTTCTTTCTCTGTGTAACCTGGGACCTGTAACTGATTCATAGTCAACAATGCCTGACCTAGGTGTCTGGTATTCTCTTTTTCTTAACTCATTTGTTTCCCGGTCTTTATCATTTTACATAATTGCTTCAGCTGCAGTGTCGTGAGTGTTTGGGAGATTTGGGGTTACAGTATCTACATGGGAAACAAAGGTGAGGTGAACCCCAGTAATGAGGTCAAAGTAATAGTGACATCAATAATTTGAGAGATTTCCTAGGAACATGATGAAATTTTGGAGGACGAATCATGCTAAAGAAGGCTATTATCCAACTAGATGATGAGTCTGCTGCCCCATGTTAGTATCTTAAGGTTATTACAGAAGAAATGGTTGGCTCTTCTGTGACACTTAATGAGATGCTGTCACTGAGCCAGCTTGTTAGTCTTGTATGGTTACTGTTGAGTCAGGTCCAGTTTCCAAAGATGGCTATTCCAAACTCTTGGGCAGTAAGTGAGACCTCTGGCCAGGCTGGAATATGGCAGGTAGAATGGCTTTTGTGGTATGGTCCGAAGTTTAGTCATGGCTGTTTGTGACTCCCGTTAATCTTACTGATCTAGAAGCAGGCTCTCTGACTGTATCCACAGCTGTTAACATTCATAGTCTTTAATTAGAGAACAATTATCCTGATAGTTCATGTTGAATATATCCTCATTCACCACAAATTTTTGGTTATTGAAAATAGAGAACTTGAAGTATCAAGTTCTTAACTACTTTTAAATTACCTAAATAAAGGACATTTTTTATTAAACATTAACGAAGACAAGTGTAACCATTTGTGCAAATATTTAAATGTAAAATAAAACCACAAGTTGATTACATGTCTACTTAAGAGTCTGATTGGTAGGCTGCAGAGAGGACCAGGATTTAATTCTCAGCACCTACAAGGTGATTCACAACACCTGTAACTCCAGTTCCAATGGATCTGAAGCTCTCTTCTGGCCTCCATGGGCACTACATGTATATGGTATAAGGTACACATAGGCACATGCCAGCAAGTACTTGTACACATAAAAATCAATAAATCCTGTTTTGTTTTGTGGTTTTGGCTTCTCCTTCCTCTCAAAATCTTTTCTTCCACGGAAGCTTTGTTGAGAACATATGATCACCATAAAATCAAGTCAAAATTATATCCCCCCCCCAATGATACCTTGGAATATAAATAAAATGGCCCATGGCAATCTAGTACAGCTGTTATCAACCTGTGGATTGTGACTCATCTGAGGGACAAATGGCCCTTTCCCAGGGATCACATATCAGATATCCTGCATATCACATGTTTACATAGCAATTCATAACAGTAGCAAAATTACAGTCATGAAGTAGCAATGAAAATAATTTTATGGTTGGGGTTGGGAGCTATATTAAAGGGTCCCAGCATTTGGAAGGTTGAGAACCACAGCTCTGGCATTTAGCATGTATAAAAAGGCTATGGTGATGTTTTCCTTATTCCCTGGCAAGAAAAACTGCCTGTAGCTCATATTGATACTTGTGATCCTATTTTAGGTGTAGCATTTTAGAGCCTTAATGGAGGCTACAGACTCTTTGATAGTCAAGACAAAACTTGCAAAATTAGATTGAAAACCCAACATTTACTTCCTTCACAAGCCATCTGGTCTTTATTTTGATGATTTTTTTTCCTCAACAGAAAATGAAAACACTGGCAGAAAGGAGGAGGAGCGCCCCATCCCTTATCCTGGACAAAGCCTTACAGAAGCGGCCCAGCACCAGGTGCGTGCAAGGCTTTTTTACATTTACTGTTCTATTTACTGTAAACATGCTGCTTTTACAAGCGGTGTGCTAACCTAACAATGCATCTATATGGCCATAACATGTTTTTGAGAAAAGGATAAATTTCTAATCCTATTTAATGAAATGTTCAAAATATTTAGATCATATTTTTCTCAGTTCTCAAACCAGGTTGTTTCTGACCTGTGTCCTAAATGCATACACTGTCATCATTGGGTGAACCAAGAAAGATAAACTACTTTATTCAATAGGTGCCTAATCAAAACTGAATTAGGAAGATGCTCTTCAAAACAAAAAAAGCAGTAAAGTACTTTAGTGCCATATGTAAGTGACTTTAGATATTTGCTGTAGCATACTTCTGTGTTAGTATGGGTGAGAGAAAATGACCTCATCTTCACAGTTTGATCCTGGTACCTAGAAAGCACAGGAGGGGTCTTTTTAGGGGAGGTGGGTACAGATAGGAAAGCAGTTATCAGTATAGCTCTCGCTAGTTCTCTTCATTTTAAATGAAATGTATTAATGGGCACTCATGGGGTACTCAGCTGAAAGAGGCTTTGAGCTCAGGGTCAGTAGATAGACATCGTCTTCAAGCCCAGCGAAGCATTTATAATATCACTGATGTAAGGTATTGAAACTTAAAAAATTATTCCATTCCCTGATGGTAACCTCTAGGGGACACTTTGGAAATGTGTGGTGGGTTGAATTTTCTGAGGAAATGCAGAGGGCAGGGAGCACAGACCAGGAAAGACAGAGAGCATCCAGCAAGGTCTAGTCTAGTGCTGGTGTCCCTTCTGAATGTCCCACACACAGCATATTTGTGAAGAGAGATTGTGTGTGTTGTTCATACCGAAAATCTGAATGTTTTATATAGAAACACGGTGTTTTTATGTATTTTAAACGATACTGCATTTTCCATAAATGCGGCTGTGCTGTACACCAGGAGATAATTATACTTTGTACTCTTTTTAACTGTACCCCCTCCACCAAAAAAAAAAAAAAAAAAATCAGTTGGTAGTACCACAGAGGATGAACTGGTCTGTGGGGAGAAACTCAAAAACATGGAGGGAAAATCAGAAAGGAAAATGAGACTAAGCAAAGAATCTGTGTAAACAAATTCTGGAAATGAGAGAACCATCAAATAAAAAACACAGTGGGAAGTATCATCTGGAAACCAAGAAGCATGACCCTGCTGCAGCCAGGGTCTGTGTTGATGTCCCAGGCTCCTGTTACCATTGAATGCAGTGTGGACACCCAAGTCCTGGAGCCATGTTGGTGTCTCGCTATTGCTGGGGCCTTGCTGAACAACCTGTACTGCCACCTGGGGCAGTGGGGACATCCAGACCTAGTTGCTGACAAGGACCATGTCTGAATCTGTGGTCCTACATGGCTGGGGTCTATGTTGAAGTCTGAGGCCCATGTGGCCACCAAAAGTCACATGGAAGCCCAGGGTTGAGGCTGCAACCTGTGGCCTTGTTGGTGTCAGGGAGCCTTGTTGCCACCAGAGCCATCCTGATCTGTCATGTGGGGGAGCTTCTGCTGAGGGCCATGTCTGGGACCTTGGTCTAGCCCCAGGAGGGGTCTTTGTTGATGTCTATGGCCTGTGTCACTTCAGGGGGCCATAGGAACCTTGTATGATGAAATCAGAGCGCCATCCCGAGCCAGCCCCTGGGAGTTCCAGGGAGGACCCAGTAGCAGAAACCAGAGGCCTTGAACCAATCAGTGAATCTTTGCAATGAACTTTGTTAGTCAAGCTGATTGGACAAAAGGATATATTGTGTGACACCACTGCCAATGACACCAGGACATGAAAAGGTGGTGAAGAGGAGGAAAAGGAGAAGAAAAGAGGGTTTTTTGGTTTGTTTTGTTCTTGCTTTTGTTTTTTTTTGTTTTTGCTTGCTTGTTTTGGTTTGATTTTTTTTAATTTTCTTTTGGGCGGTGCTGCAGGGGTGAGGAGAGGATATAGGGGTACTGGGAGGTGAATGGAATTGGGGTGCATGATGTGAAATTCCCAAAGAATCAATAAAGAAATTATATATATATTAATTATATATATTAATTATATAATAATATAATTATATAATTATATTATATAATTTATATATATAATTATGTTATAATTATATAACTATATTATATAATTTATATATATAATTATGTTATAATTATATAATTAATATATATACATATATATATGTATATATATTTAAAAAAAAGAAACCAAGAACAGATTCCTGGGTGAAGAATGAAGTCAAAACAGCAATCTACTCTAAGATATGAGAAGATAAAACCTGATGAATGTGACTAGGTTTCCAATACCTCTGTAATAGGTTCAAGAGAACAAACCTAATAGCTCATACAGTAGAAGAAAAGATTGAAATAACATCTAGAGACAGAACAGTTTATTTGATGAAATTTTAGCAGAAATTTTCCCAAACCTAGAAGGAAAAAAAAAAATGGATCTCCAAGAGGCATTTTGAATCCACATAAAGCACAAGTAGAGAAGAATCTCTTTTCCTACTTATCATTAAAATCTCAAAAACACAAAGCAAAGAAACAAAAATTAAGAGCTGTAAAGGAAAACACCAAGTCACATTCAAAGGCAGAGACAGCAGATAACAAACATCTCTCCTCAAAGTTCTCACTCATCAGCAAAGCATTACTTCAAGCCCTGAAAGTAAGTGACTCTCAACTAAGATCTCTATATCAATCCAGCAAGATTATCACTTAAAATTGAGAAGAAAGGGGAATGTGACAGAAGGCAAATACATATTAAGGTAATTTGTCACAGCCAAACCAATACTGTGGAAACTACTTAAAGCAATACTACACACAGAAGGAAAACAACAATTTTAGCCACAGAACATAGGAAAAGGTAGTTTCATACGAGGAATAACAAGAGAAAGCCAAGAGGGAGTCATCCTGCTAATACAGTGAGCCAGAAAGCTCTTGGTACTAACAGGTAAGGAAGAAGGGAAGTACTGCTAATCCAACCAGAGCATTAAATGCAAAAGACTAGGAAGTACCAGAGCCCTCTCAATAATCACTTTGAGTGTAAATGGCCTTCACCCCTCAGTTAAAAGACAAACACTAATTAGATTATAAAAACAAGATCCAACTGACTCTTTGTCTCCAAAAAAGACACCTCCCTGATAAAGTCACAAAAAAAAAAAAAAAAAAAAAAAAAATCTGGGAAAAGGAAGGAAGGCAGTGTACCAAGCAGCACATCATAGCAATGAACAAGCTGGTGCTGGATGAAGTAGGCTCCTAACATTCGTGAATCAGGGGTGGTGAAGAAAATATTGCATTTTAATAAAGGAAACAATTTTTTAACATTTTTTACATCACACATGACACTCTCAGTTTTATAAAACAAACACTGAAAGGCATGAGAACTCAGATAGGCCCCAGTATGGTAATAGTGAGAACTCCAGTACCCAATGCCCATCTTTACATCTGTCTTCCAAACTAAGACTGAGCACAGACACTCCAGAGCTAACACACCATAGATGGACTGGATTGCACACATATCTAGAGCATATTCCCTTAGCAATTAGTGGAGACACATTCTTGCCAGTGGCCCATGGAACCTTCTCTAAAATAGTTACATGAAAGACCACAAAAGCAATCTTTAACAAATACAAAAAATTAAAATAATTCCCTATATCTTATCAGACCATCATAGAGTAAAACTGTCAATCTGCAGTAAGCAAAACCCACAAAAAAATGCACAAATCTTTGGAGTCTGAACAAAACTCTTTTGAGCAAAGAATGAGTCATTGAAGAAATCTAGCAGGAAAATATAAAACTTAAAGTAAATGAAAATGATAGCACAACCTTTCAGAACTTCTGGTATACATCCAGGAAAGTTCCAGAAGGAACACGTATAGTCACAGGCTTTCACCTTATAGAAGAGGAAGAAGGGAGAAGGGAGGAGGAGGAGAAGGAAGAGGAGGAGGAGGAGAAGAAAAGAAACAGCAGCAGCTATAGAAACAAAAAGCCAAGCACAAATGGGGTAGATGGAAAGAAATGATAAAGGTTAAGGCAGAGATGGGCATTTTAAAAAAGAATTGGCTGGTCAGATTGTATTCACAGTCAGGAAATGGAGAACTATGAACTTACTTCCTCTTTATTCAATCTTGCTGTTGGAATGAGTCTCCTGGGTTAACAGTTTCTGTTCTTCAGAAATGATTCAATGTATGCATTCATGGTGTTTCTTGTGGCATAATCTGGGGGATCCTGAGAAGATTATATTAGTTCTTCTATGTTCTAGAGGGCTTTGACAAGGTGAAACTAGCTTATTTTTGTTCTCATAGAATGGCACATGCATGTGATTTCTTCATCCCAGCTTGAATTCATTTGTTCATTGCAGTTATGACTCGGTATTGTCTTTCCTTTTGGCACCAGCAGATGTTGAGTTACTCTTTCTTGTGCTGGTTACAAGGATAGCAGGCTGTCCTAGGGTGTCATTGCTGTATTGAACTGCATACTTCTCTACCCTGTAAAGCTGAAAGCTAATGTTCTCCAGAATACTTTTGGCATTTTATGATTGGTTTTCCTTTAGAACAATGAACTACTTTTGTGGCCTGAGCTCTGACTCTTCTTAAGGTCTATGAGAATTTTGGCAAGCTATTCCTCCTCTTTGGACATTACCTTCCTTATAGCTATTATAATGCATTTTACATATTACAGTTACAACGTAAGCTTTTGTTAAACACACTTATCAAACTGGTTTAGTCTCCAGACACATAGTGTCTTAGTATCTGAGTGACATAGATGTCCATAATCTATAATCTTTCCAACTGGACTAAGTGGCAGGACCATATTATCTACTCTTCAAAGTCTATGTTTTATGCACAAACATTAGTTGGATTAAATACATAATTCCATTCTTACTTAGCTGAGTAATAGCCCATGACTATCTGAGAAAGTGTTGAACAGTCAGTACTGGGGGAAAAATAAACTCTGGTAGGAAGGATAATTTT